AGCCCGACCCGGGAATCAAATCCGAGACCCCTTGCCCGGCAGTCGCACTTGCGACCCCTCGGTCAACGAGGCAGTGCCTAATGTGTGGTTATAATTTTTATCATCATCATCAACAGCCTATAAATGCTCACTGCTGAGCAAAGCCTCTTCTTACACGGAGAAGGATTTTTACATGTGGTTAAAGAGTCAAACGAGCAGACGTATTATTCGATGGCAAAGGACTAATGACAATGACAAAAACTAACTCCGCTAATGAAAAAAAAAACAATACTGCATTTCCAAATATTGTTAGTAGCATCGTAACCTGGGTGTGGAAATTACAGCCATTTTAAAATAACATAGCTTCCACCCCTGACAACAAACAGGGTGATTGTATGAGTTAATCAATTAAAGACATAAATGGGGATGTACCCCTGCATTTAAAAATTGTATCTCTATTTACTAGGGGGAATTGGGGGAGTGACCGCCCTTAAAAACCCCACCTTGAAGTTAATGCATTTGTAAACTCATATTTTTGTATATTAAACTTATGTAGATGATATTCATGTTATTTATTTCACTAAGAGGATGCCCGACCAATTTCGAGCTAAGACCGGAGCCCATAAATGAGTGGCGATGGCAACGTCAAGTGGCAAAGACAGCGTTGTAATATCGGCGTCATTAATCTTATTAATTATAGGGTTTAAAAAAAAAATCTCAGTTGGAATTGTGTCCGATATATGTGGCAATGGCTTACACCCTATTACATGGGACTCATAACATAGATAGTGAAAAGTGGGTGTTACATTGTACAGTGGCATTATGTGCATCTCTGCCTACCCCTTCGGGGTTAAAGGTTCCGGATCTGGGTGTATGTGAACTTGTATGTTTGTTAACGCACCCTCGACATTGGAGAAAATCCTAGTGTGGGGCAACGTGTTTTAAAAAAGAATAAAAAAAAAATCATTGGTTAACCCCATCATTATTATTTAACAAACTAGAAATATGTCACCCAGGTTATAGGTTATGACAAGCTACTTTTGGTGTCGCAATGTCTTCTGAATGGTTTTTATATTAAGGTAAATTGCTATGACGATGCCGATGTCGCAATAATAAGCATTTAATTGATAGATAAAACCTACAAATCAACACGTAAATATATTATGTCTTTGTCAAATACAAATCGCTACAGTCTATCACTAAAGAGCACATCTCTTCCGCTGACGCGTCCCTGTTAGCTGAATAACAAACACTTGCCCCATACGGTTTAGGATAGGTCACGCTGTTAGCGGGACCCATCGTCAGCTAATGTTCACATGTAAACAGCAGCCCATGTAGTGTAGATGTCCAGTCAACAAGGATGTAGCGAGGTTGACTGTCCAGGCGACACACGTACTTAGGTATCGTCATGAGCTAATGTTCACATGTAAACAGCAGCTCATGTAGTGTAGATGTCCAGTCAACAAGGATGTAGCGAGGTTGACTGTCCAGGCGACACACGTACTTAGGTATCGTCATGACCTAATGTTCACATGTAAACAGCAGCTCATGTAGTGTAGATGTCCAGTCAACAAGGATGTAGCGAGGTTGACTGTCCAGGCGACACACGTACTTAGGTATCGTCATGAGCTAATGTTCACATGTAAACGGCAGCTCATGTAGTGTAGATGTCCAGTCAACAAGGATGTAGCGAGGTTGACTGTCCAGGCGACACACGTACTTAGGTATCGTCATGAGCTAATGTTCACATGTAAACAGCAGCTCATGTAGTGTAGATGTCCAGTCAACAAGAATGTAGCGAGGTTGACTGTCCAGGCGACACACGTACTTAGGTATCGTCATGAGCTAATGTTCACATGTAAACAGCAGCTCATGTAGTGTAGATGTCCAGTCAACAAGGATGTAGCGAGGTTGACTGTCCAGGCGACACACGTACTTAGGTATCGTCATGAGCTAATGTTCACATGTAAACAGCAGCTCATGTATGTAGTTTGGTTTAGTGGTTAAAAGTATGAGGCTTTAGGGACAATATACTTTTGACTTCCATTAAAGGTTTAAACTGTAGTACCGCTCTCACAAACCCCACGCCTCATCTAATATGATTCCACACGCGTCGTCTGTCCGTCCGATTATGGCAAGCCAATGAATGGAATGTTTTAACAGCTAATCCTATGTTAATGTAAGGGAACAGACAGGTATCGTGCACTTGTTTATATTATAGTCAAGTATTCAAAGTAGATACTTAGGCTTAGTCATCGTTTGTGTGAAGAAAGGTACTTTATATTGCTTCACATCTTTGTCTTCATGTCCTTATGGTTTACAGAAAGTCGAACTTATTAAGATCCTTATATATTTCTTTAGCTTCCATCATACATCACAGTCGTACTAACAGTTCTTTACCGACTCTTGCTTGGTTCTCGATATTTTATTATTAGTATTAAGTTAAACATCAGATCTTACGAATGGGCCGGCTCGACTGGAGTGATACCACGGCCTCACAGAAAATCATAGTGAAACAACACTTGTGTTGTGTTTCTTTGTGGGAGTGTGGTTACCGGAGGCCCAATTAACCCCCTTCCCTATCTCCCTAATCCCTGAATCCCTAACAATCCTTAAATTCATAACCCTCAAAATGCCGGTAATACACTTGTACCGCGTCTGCTGTTTCAGCTGTCCATGGGCGACGATTGCTTACCATCAGGCGATCCGCGCGCCTCTTTACCGGCTTATCCCATAAAAAAAAATCGATTCATTTTCCAATGAAAGAAATGTATCCTAAGATTAATCATATATGATAAAAATTACAAATTGTTCCAACTCAATAATTTCAAGTTTTTTTATCTAACCAATTTGGAACTTACTACTCGACTTACATTAAGTAAAGTTTACCTAACTGAATAATTAACGTTATATTCTTATTTATTAATAACACTCCGACCAGGGGCATAGTATAAAGAATACAGTAGGTTATCTAAGGCCGCCCGCCGAGTTATTAGCCTACTCTTGCGTTGATCCCCAGGGTTGTCACTTTTACTTTTAGTTAATATTTTCGAACAAGCAGCACTTGATCATATTATGATCATATTATGATGTATGAAATGAAAAGCATAATTATTATGATTGAATATTTTATCAATTTATAAATTTAGTAAAAATTAAAAGCTTATAAAAAGATTATTAACTTCTTAAAATAAACTTTAGCTCTATACATAGTATTCAGAAAGTAAATTTGGGAATACATTTATATGGAAAAATGCGACTCGGCTACGCTCTTAACAAATCAGATAAACTGTGAAATAAACAATACAATACCACATTTTTTTATAATATTTAAGTATAGTAGGTAGGTAATTACATTTCTGGTTGAGTAGGAACTATGAAGAATGATAAGAGTAAGAATTATATTATGAACATTATATATTACAAATTATATTATGCTAGAAAAAGTGACTAGCTTACCTTTCCTGTTCAATAGGTACCTAATCTGAACAGAGACAGTTCTGGAATCGATTAATTATTAAGACACCCAAACACACAGCAATACGTTCTTCTACGATTATCAGACATTTTTTATTTCATTGAACAGTGCCGAAAAGCCGTGAAGCGCGCGCGAACCTCGTACAGTGTCAGCCCTGCCTGGCGCACTGAGAAACGGGTCGAGATTTTGTTAAAGTGTGCGTGCGTCGACGCATAGATACTATGGCGCACACATATAAGCCGCGCGCGGAGCATTTGTATGAAGATAACCTACTTTGTTCTTTATACTATGCCAGGGGTGCAGAGGCGGATTATATCTAGCGAGCGCCCTAGGCAAGCACCTCATGGGCGCCCATTATTTTGTTTGGCGCCACCACACTCTATGACCAGTTTTGCACGTACGTCTCGCGGCGCCCCTCTGTAACCTGGCGCCCTAAGCAGTTACCTAATACGGTTCTGCAAGGGTTTATCTATAATACCTACTTACGAAAACTTCCCCAATCCATAAACATAATCTACTCTAATTAAAAAACTTTGCCCATTCGTTATATACTTTGGTTAATGCTACAGTAATTGTAATAGTTAAGTTAAACTGTAAATAACTGGGATAAACAGATAATGGATTTTATGTTTGTTTTATTAATTGACTAAGTTTTGGTCAAAGATATAGGTATGCAAACAAAGAAATTAGTGGTCATGGAACTTGCAATATTTGTTTACAAAATAGGGTAGTTTCCTAAATTTTATTTTAATGTCTGTCTGATAGATTAATTTAAAACTTCGACACGTATTTTTTATTTATGTTATGAGTCCCATGTACTAGTGGGTGAGCCTATTGCCATATACCGGGCACATTTCCAGACATCGTGATACTACTGAGAATTTTAACGAACCCAGTAGTACTTTGCCCGAACCGGTAATCGCAATTAAGACCCCTTGCGCCGGGCAACTATTACTATCGTTAAAATAAATATCGATTCGAATGGGCCACCTCACAGATACCACGGCACAGAGAACCGACATGTAATACTTGCATCATGTTATTGGAGATCACAAAAGCCCCATCTCCCTTCCCTAAACATCCAACATCGCACTTGCAACTCTAGGGTTTCGGATGTCCATGGGCGGCGTCGATTACTTACCATCAGGTGATCCGTCTGCTCGTACGTCAGGATAATAGTAATAGCAGGATCGTCAGGATAATAATAATAATGGCGCCGTCAATTGGAACTGGTCAGCTCCAAACTGTATGATCTTATGATCCTCAAGGTTATTTTCTTTTTCAATCTCTTTGACTGCATTTAGGTGTTGCATTTTTCTCACACAATCGAACCATCAAAACTATGTAACTAGAGTATTGTATTGTAAACCTGATTGAAAAAGAGTAACCTATGGAGTTTCTTGCTCGTTCTTCTCCATAGGAATCTACACCTTGGAATGAGCAAAAAAAGCTTCACTTCTAATTTCTTTTTGTTGTTGATCCTGGTCTAATTGAAATAAATGATTTTGACCTTGACTTTGAAATCCTTTTCTCTCATTTCCAGATGCACCGTGGTCCTGTACAACGTCAGGAAGAACAGGCAGTCGCATGTGTTGAACGCGTGCCGCAAGAGTGTCACCTGCGTGGCGTTCTCCCCCGACGGACGGTACCTCGCCACGGGGGAGTGCGGACATGCCCCCGCCGTCAGGGTGTGGGATCTACAGGTCGGTAATTTGAAGATGAGGGACTGCACCTCTAGCTAAACTTCATTATCAACGATCGTTAGCACAAAACAAATGTTTGATAATATTTGAAAGCTATACCGTCGATCTTGTGACTTATCTGATATGAAGTCTATAAACCACCAACGTCTCTATGTTGGTGCTTTAGTGCAGTAGAATGCGTGGCAGTTCACACAGCATCTTGAGCGTATTGTGTGATGAATGGGATAGCCCAATGTTGGGCCATTGGATTAGACTGCACGCGGCTGTAAAGTAGAATTAGTTTTGTTTATTTATATTATATTAAATTACTAACAATAGGTTAAGCTCATTGTTACTAACAGTTTATGGACTCTTGGTCTGAAATAAATGATTAACTCGTATATACACTAGATTGTTGTTATCTATACTTATAATAAATCTGTAGAGAGGTCAATTCTGTACATAAAATATATTTAAAAAATAACTATCAAGGGGTGGTTAGGGATCGCTACTGATGTCAAAAATGCAATCAGTAAAATTTTTGTCTGTCTGTCTGTCTGTCTGTATGTTCGTTATGGAAACAAAAACTACTCGATGGATTTTAACGAAATTATTCTTCATACTCTTGGGCAGGTTATAATATACTTTTCATTACGCTACGATCAATAGGAGCTGAGCAGTGAAGGGAAATATTGGGAAAACGGGAGAAGTTACTCCATTTTTTAAGCTTCCGTCGCGTGTGCAGGCTTATAGGTTAAAGCTGCATAGAAATCATGTATGACGGAAATATTCTCCTTAAAATTATATAAAAAATATTCCTCGACAGCATATGTCTATCTTTTATGGTTGACTCACAATAACACGTGAAACTCCCGGTAGCTTAGCAATTCGGTGATTTCTGATTGTATTTGTCTACTCTAACGTTTACAATACTCATTCATAGACTTTACGCTGTAACTGAAAGGCCACATACATACATACATAACTTCACGCCTGTCTCCCATGGGGGTAGGCAGAGACTAAGGAACGCCAATTACTACGATTCTTACATACCTCTTTCGCTTCATTAACAGTCATCAATCTTTTCATGCATGCTCGTCGGTTAAGGGTACTTTTAATTTGGCCCTTCTTTAATATATCGCCAATCTGGTCACTATATGTCCGTCTAGGGCGCCCTCTACCGACGGCTCCATTCATATCCGCTCTGTATACTTCTTTCGTTACTCTACTTTCATCCATCCTTTCTACATGTCCAAACCAGCGTAACATTCCCTTTTCAATCCTTGTCACTACATCGTCTTTCAATCCACACCTCTCTCTAATAACACTATTTTTCACTCGATCACTCAATTTTAGTCCACACATACTTCTCAGGGCTCTCATTTCCACCGCATTAATCCTGCTTTCATGCTTCTTCTGCCACACCCATGATTCACTACCATACATAAGCGTTGGTGTCAATACACACTGCATTACAGCAAGTCGAGCTTTGCTGGATATTATTTTACTCGACATTACAGAGTGTAAAGCACCATTAACACTATTTCCCGCTTTCACTCTCCTTTCAATATCCCCGTCACACTTTCCATCTCTCGTAAATAGTGATCCCAGATACACAAATTCATTCACTTGTTCCAATTTTTCATCACCTATCATTACCTGACATTCTGTTATCACCTCATTTCTTTCTATCACCAACACTTTCGTCTTGTTCACATTTATTTTCATACCTTTCCTTTCAAATGCATCACTCATAGCAGTGACCATTTGTTGTAATTCTTGGGCCGACGAGGCAACAAGCACCTGGTCGTCGGCATACAACAATGTTTTAATCACTGTGTCATTCATCCTTAATCCAGGCTCTCCTACTTTCAGGTCGTTCAAACAACTGTCCATAAATAGGTTGAACAGCCAAGGAGATGCTACACAGCCTTGCCTAACACCGCGATTAATGTCAAACCACTCCGTGTAGTCCCCATTTATTCTGACACAGGCACTCGAGTCCTTATATAAGGATTAAGTGCCCGAATCAGGTGGCTATCCACCCCATACATGGACAGAGTTGACCACAATTCATCCCTCACCCCTCTGTCATAAGCCTTTTCTAGGTCTATAAAGGCACAAAATACCTTTTGGTGCTTTGATAACACTTTCTCTGAAATGCACCGTAACGAAAAGACTTGATCCGTACACCCCATTCCCTTTCGAAATCCCGCTTGCACATCCCAGATTTTACGCTCAGTTACATCCATCACTCTTTCGATCAATACCTTGGCATACAACTTTCCTACTACGCTTAGGAGGCTTATACCGCGATAATTTTTGCACTCCCGCTGTGATCCTTTTCCTTTATATAGTGGCACAATTACGGCCTTGGCCCAGTCTCCCGGGACACGACCGCACCGCCAACACTTATTAAAAAGTAGATACAGCAGGCTTGCAATTACACCTCCACCCTCTGTTAGCATTTCAGAAGTTATCCTATCACATCCCGCTGCTTTACCTACTTTCAAACTCTTAATGGCACTCACAATTTCATCCATATTTATTTCTCCCACATTAGTACTTTCATTCTCATCGTTTACTTCCTCTTCTTTCAAATCACTCCTTTCAAATAAATTCTCGAAGTATTCCTTCCAATGCTTTAAAACTGAAAGGCCAATGGTTGAAATTAGCTTGACTCGATATTATAAATGAAAATATTTGAGTTTATGTGTATGTTTGTTACTCAGTCATATTAAAACCACTGAAGGGACCGGAATGAAATTCGGAACAGAGGTAGATTATGGTCTGAAGTGATACATAGGCATTTTACCCCTGGGATCGCGGGCGAAGCCGCTGGCAGAAGCTAGTTTTTGAAATAAATTCTATTGTTTGGTTTATCTAACGCTGTTTATGTTTATAAACAGTAGACAGGTGTGCTAGCTATTAAAGTAAGTTTCTTCTGATTGTAGTCTATTTACATCACAAAAGGTTGTCGGTCCAGATAGCGTAATTTTTTTAACTATTTTTGTTTTAATTCCGTTTGCATAAGTTTATTTCTTCAAAAATTCCAATGCGACGCAATGCTACTGCGTATCGCTATGAAATTTTTTACTAAACCACTAGTGCCATCTAGTGACGAGTAGTCGAAACTGTGGTATCAGTTGATAGTTCCTAAGAATATGATACTGGCAGCGCCATCTATTGACAAGTAGCATAAAATTTTCTTAAATTTTTTCACACAATACTATTTAGTCTGAAATGGTTTATTAATGTTTTTGTTTTATATTTTCAGGATCCCACGGCATCTGGAGCGGTACAGATAGCGGAGTTCATTGGACACACTCATGGCGTTAGTTGTGTTGTGAGTATTTTACTTATAAATATTCCTTTCATAATTAATGATTCATTAAAATACCATACAAAGCCGTACTATCCCTAAGACAAACTAGGCAAGTGCCGGGCGCCAGGTTACAGAGGGCGCCGCGATACGCACTTGCACTACTGCACATAGAGTGACGGCGCCGACAGTAAAATTAGGGGCGCCTATGAGGTGCTTGCTTAGGGCGCTCAATAGGTTTAATCCGCCGCTGGATGGTGCCAATTGTATACCAGAGTTCTTAGTGGTCGTTTGTGAATGATTACAAAATCAAAGCCAGCTACAGAATTATTAATAATCCTATTCAACATCATTTTATTAAATTTTTGATTTTGAATACAGATTAAACTACTAAAACTTAAAAAAATATATAAGAATTGTTTTATTAATACATTTTGAAAACCAACAGCTATACAATTTGATTAAATAGAATGTGGTATGCAACAAATAGCCAATTACTGGTTTTCACGATTAGTAACAGACAATAAAAACGACAATAGAATTGGGATTAAAAATCTAATTAGTCCGTAAGTTAGGTAATGAAAAATATATCGTAGAAAATATTCGTTTCTGTAAAAAATAAAAATACGTGTCTAACGATTTAAAAGAATCTACCAGACGGACATTAAAATAAAAATTAGACATCTACCCTATTAAATAAATTATATATTTAAAATAGGAAATTAATCATTTGTTTAAAGAATTAAACATACAATAGTTATATTGTAGTGTAAAATGCATAATAACTTTCTGAACAATTTGTTTTACAGGCATTCTCGACGTCATCGAAGTACTTGGTGTCGATAGGATCGCAGCATGACATGATCGTCAACGTGTGGGACTGGCGAGCTAATCTCAAGCTGGCTAGTAATAAGGTATGTATACTATTGAAAAACCATTGATATAATTATGGTGAAGAAAACATCGTGAGGAAACCGGGGCTTATAATTTTTTATTATAAGTTTGGATTCGTCAACCCGAAGAAGCTTTTCCTCAGCAGTGGTCACTTTTTATTTATGGAATACGAGGCAAACGAGCAGACGGATCACCTGATGGTAAGCGATCAGCGCCGCCCATGGACATCCGCAACACCAGAGGAGTCACAGGTGCGTTGCTGGCCTTTTAAAAAGGAATACGCTCTTTTCTTGAAGGTTTGAAGGTCGTATCGGATGATGATGATGTGTGTAATGAACACAAAAGTCCCGGAGTGATACCACGGTCTCACGGTACACTGGCGTGACACAAGTCTTGCGTAGTATTACGTCATGTGAAAGAAGGGAGAGGAGGCCCTATCCTCAATCATCTGTCGCGGAGAACCTGACGGGTAACCGGGGCTCCGGCTCGACGTGCAGGAGAAGGAACGGGGTGGTTTTTAGTCAGTAAGAGTCTGACACTCCCTCCCGCCTCACCCAGGCGGGAATAGTCATTCGATGATTTTCCACCCTTAAAAAAAATCCTTAATCATCTAATAACTTCTTCTGCCTTGGGTGAGACTACAGAGTGTCAGACTCTAACTGACTAAAAATCACCCCATTCCTACTCCTCGGCATAGCGCTGGAGCTACGGTAATCAGTTAAGTTATCCGCGACTCCTGGCTCGCCCCATCCCTAATTTACAAATTGTCGAATCCTCAAATCACCAATTACAAAACACCGGCAACGCACTTGTAACTCCTTTGAGGCCTTAGTACAAGTTTCTTTTACGTTTAAAGTAATCGAAACTGGTACTTAGTTAGGCCTCTGATTGGTTGGTTACTGGAGCCAGCCAGTCAGAGCCCCGAACGCGGTTTTGCTAACTGTGGAAGAGCCATGCTTCGAATGGGCCGGCTCGACCGGAGTGATACTAAAGCCTCACAGAAAACCGACGTGAAGCAACGCTTGCGTTGTGTTTCGTCGTGTGAGTGAGGTTACCGGAGGCCCAATTACCTTCCCCTTCCCCAACCTCCCCAATCCCTGAATCCCCAACGATCCTCAAACTCCTAATCCCGAAAAAGCTGGTGACGCACTTGTAACGCCTCTGGTGTTCCATGTGTCCATGGGCGACGCCGATTGCTTACCATCAGGTGATCCGTCTGCTCGTTTACCGGCTTATGCCATGAAAAAAAAATCTGTGGTGTTTTCATCAGCTCGTTTACCGGACCCCATAAATAAAAGATAGATTGTTCATGATTCTTTCTATATTATGTTTCCAGGTGTCGTCTCGTGTGAAAGCAGTGAGTTTCTCCGAGAACGGCAATTACTTCGTGACGGTCGGCTTCAGGCACGTCAAGTTCTGGTATCTAGAATACTCCAGGAATGCGAAGGTTAGCTCAAGTACTTATATTTATTTATTGTATGATTTTAGTGTTAGAGGTAAAATAAAGTGAATTTTTTTTTTCTACAATTGTAAAGTATTTTTTTTATTTTAAACTTGTCCAATATTTTGTACACAGTTGGGTACTGGCCAACTAGGTAGTCAAATTTAATACTCTTTTCGAACTGTCAAAAACGACAGTTTTCTATGAATTCTGTACGAGATTGTGTATTGTGACGTCATGTTGTTTTAAGCGTCAAAAAGATTATTTATTTCTTAAAAAATTGCTGGAAATATACTAAAATCAAGTTGGTCCTAAAATCAATTAACGCAAGTGTGATTATTTTTTATATTTTATTGTATTGAACAGTCGAAATAATTTATTTTTGATTGAGGAATGTACCCAATTTGAGAGTTGCTCAACTAGATTCAAGCCATATTCAGGGTTCATAATCTTGAGCTGTAGACGTTATGCAGTATGCAGTTAATTCTCGTTTCTATTTTGTGGTTTTATAATATTATAGAATTTAGTTCAGATAGGTAACTTATAACTTATGCACCGACCACGCTGTCACTGCATCACCTAAAGGTTGGCTAGTAAGAATGCCCACGGCATTTAGCCCGCCTATGTACTCTTGTTGCATAAAGTTAAATAAATAAAATAAATAGGATTAAAAATAAGCGTTACGCAATATGGTATTCTTGTTAATATTATTTTAATTTTGACAAATAATGCTCTACAAACCAGTTTTTGAAAAGAATAATTGAAATTTATTAATCCTTAAACTGTCAAACACCGCGAGGACACCGGTGACTGCACCTTATTGTTATTTAATTGTGTCTATAATGACGATACTCAAAGGGTTAATACATTACATTACTATTCTCTATCCGCAGTTCAAAGAGCCAGTCCCCCTAATGGGTCGTTCAGCGATCCTGGGCGAACAGAAAGACAATGAATTCTGTGACGTGGTCTGCGGGCGGGGGGCCGCCGGGGACAGCACCTACTGCATCACTAGGGGCGGCCTGCTCTGTGAGTTCAACAGTAGGAGGCTCCTTGATAAGTGGGTGGAGTTGAGGGTGAGTCTATTATTATTATTTTTGTGTTTTTCTGTGTGTACGTTTTGCCCCTGAAACAATGATATGATGAGTAAAAAGGCTATATGGTGAATAGGTCCTTAAATACTTTAATTTTTACACCACGGCCTAACAGAAAACCGACGTGAAGCAACGCTTGCGTTGTGCTTCGTCGTGTGAGTAAGGTTACCGGAGGCCCAATAACCCCCCTCCCCAATCTCCCCAATCCCTTAATCCTCAACAATCCTTAAATTCCTAATCCCCAAAAGGCTGGTAACGCACTTGTAATGCTTTCGGTCTTCTAGATATCCATGGGCGACGCCGATTGCTTACCATCAGGTGATCCGTCTACTAGTTTATCGGCTTATTCCATAAAAAAGTAATTTTAGCCAAGTCTTAATAATTCATTCCATTTTGTCTTTCAGACTACGTCAGCAAACTGCATGGCGATAGGTTCGAACTACATCTTCGTGGGGTGCGCCGAGGGCATCGTGCGGTGCTTCGCCCCCGACACGCTGCAGTACATCACCACGCTGCCCCGGACGCACTACCTGGGGGTCGATGTCGCGCTGGGAACTAATATTAGGTGAGCTAACTTTTTACGGCTTAAAACGGCAAACGAGGAGACGGATCACCTGATAGTAAGCAATCGGTCCTACCTACACACTTTTTGCACACCATATGGCGTTAGTGTGACGCTCCCGGATTCGGAGTCGCGGAGAACCTAACGGGTAACCGGGGCTCCGGCTCGAAGTGCAGGAGAAGGAACGGGGTGGTTGTTAGTCAGTAAGAGTCTGACACTCCCTCCCACCTCACCCAGGCGGGAGCAGACATTCGATGATTTTCCCCCCTTAAAAAAAAAAAATTGTGACCCTCCCGTTCTTCGTCCAATAGAGAATTAGCTTGTGTCACACCATTGGACGTTCATTATTTAACAGTTGCTGTGATTGGACAAAACAAAAATACCGCTTCCTACATTTGCGCCATTGGCTCCGACCTTGGACACTCGTGACATTAAAAGCACAAGCGCATTAAAACTAGTGAGCACCCATTAAACTTTCTTGGTTAATTAGCTGCCTAATCTTCCTAAATCTTTGGAGGTGATAATACAACTAATACAACAAATAAACAAAATTTGATACTAATTTATTTGCTATTTTAAAACGAACGATATTTTTGCCAGTATTAGTATTAATAAATGTATATTGATGTATTGACAACAAATTAAAACTAAAATGACTTAAATCAACGCAGTGGTTTTTTAGTTAGATGTTTTTGTAGTTCGATCAAGATTTTTTCACCAAAACCGAAAATGTTGAATATCTAAGAAACTAGCCAATTTCGGACCAGAGACCTCGGGGCTGATTTTGTAGGAAATTAGTTGTATTATCACCTCCCGAGAGGAATAAATCGATTTACAATTCACCCTGTATAATAAAATATTTAAAAATATACTAACCAAGTAAAGAATATAGATAAAGAAGAATGATTGTTACATATACAAATTACGGTAAAAAATGTATAACATATGAGGGAGCACAATTGTATAATAATTTGCCAAATAATATTAAGGAATGTCAGTCGATTGCCATGTTTAAAAATAGGTTAAGAAAATATGTATCTGAAAATATTTATTAATACCGTTTGGTCATAACTCTGTATACATATCTATAAATAGTCATTTAAGCTCATTGTAAGTGAACCATGTTCTTTGTGAGTGAATAAACAATCATTAAACTTATATATGATTATGTCTCGTTCCAGCCACATGTTCACGCAGCCCCCGAACGCGCGCTACCCCGACGCGGTGGCGCTCACGTACGACGAGAGGAACCACAAGCTCACATGTGTCTACAACGACCATAGTTTATACGTGTGGGATGTCAGGGACATTAAGAGGGTATGTATCACAATCATATATCGCTTTTACCCTTTAGCTTTTTAAATAAGATTTAAATAAGAAAATAAGAGATTAAAAAAAAGAAGGATATAAGGACCTTAATAAGTTGGACGTTCTGTACTTTTAGTTTCAAACAAAAGGCTTGATTGGTAGAACCAAATTAAGTAAAATCGTGGGTTACTCACATGAATATACTGAGAAAAGCTCTACTAGTTTCGAACCACAGAGGGGTTCTTCCTCATGAGCAGCGTGCGCGGTCGCGGCGACGTCGCGCAGCTCACTGTAACCCGCGATTTTACTTAATTTAGTATGTCTCACGACAGTTATTATAAAAACGAATTAAAACCGTTGAACATAAAAGTATAATGTATTTATTACTTGTATTTTAATGTCTTAATATTGTAATTATTGTTTCCCCCCTAGGTGGGCAAGTCCCACTCGGCGCTGTACCACTCGGCGTGTATCTGGGGCGTGGACATGGAGGGCGGCGCCTTCCTGTCGTGCTCCAGCGACGACACCGTGCGGCGGTGGCAACTGGCTCCCACCGCGCCCAATATCTATAGTAATGTTAGTATTTGCTTTTATTATTATTATAATAATATCAACATAACATAACATCACGCCTTTTATCCCCGAAGTGGTAGGCAGAGGTGCACAATATGCCATTATTAGTGGTCGCAAGTGCGACTGCCGGGCAAGGGGTCTCGAGTTCGATTCCCGGGTTGGGCAAAGTATTACTGGGTTTTTAAAAATCTCAATAGTAGCACGGAGTCTGGAAATGTGTCCGGTATATGGCAATAGGCTCACCCCCTATTACACGAGACTCATAACATAAATAGTGAAAAGTAGGTGTTACATTGTACAGTGGCATTAAGTGCCGAAATGTGCACCTCGGGCTACCCGTTCGGGGATAAAAAGGCGTGATGTTATGTTATGTTTACCGTAAACGGCGCCGGGGTCTCTGAAAAGAATCAATGTCATTTCGAACCTACTAATCTACTATATAAAAATAAGTCGGGTTTTCCTTCCTGACGCTATAACTCTAGAACGCACGAACCGATTTCTACGGTTTTGGATTTGTTGGAAAGGTCTCGGGCTCCGTGAGGTTTATAGTAAAAAAAAAATCACTTTTAATCACCAAACAAAAGTCACATAAAACGAAGCCATCTGGTTTGCTAATTAATATATTTGTTGTATATTTTCAGGAACTGAACAAAGTATTCTACATAGACCCAGAACTGAAATTCCTGAAAGACGTAGATTTAACGGCCACCAATGATAAGGACAAGTCCAAGTCGTATGATGATAAGACCGGAGTAAGGTATGTATATTTTAAATATGGTGGCTTGTGATGAGTGAGATTTTTTATTGATTCCAAATTTTGCCCGACCTGGGATCGAACCCCGACTCGGCCGACCACTCGGCCAACGAGCCAGTCTAATAGGGTAAATGACTAATTTTTATTTTCATGTCCGTCTGTTAGATTATTTAACGATAATAACGAAAATTTCACGCAGCCGCCATCTTGGATTTAGATTCTAACAGCGCCATCATTTTCACCACCCTAGAAAACCATAATTACGATACCCATGACGATAAATTGAAAATTTCATGCAGCGGCCATCTTGGATTTACATTTGGATAGCACCATCGGTTTTATCACCCTCGAAAACCATGACAACGACACCCATGACGATAAATTGAAAATTTCGTGCAGCCGCCATCTTGGATTTACATTTGGACAGCACCATCGGTTTTACCACCCTCGAAAACCATGACAACGACACCCATGTCGATAAATTGAAAATTTCGTGCAGCCGCCATCTTGGATTTACATTTGGACAGCACCATCAATTTTATCACCATCAAAAACCATGACAACGACACCCATGACGGTAAATTGAAAATTTTGCGCAGCGGCCATTTTGGATTTACATTTTGACAGCGCCATCGGTTTTATCACCCTCGAAAACCATGACAACGACACCCATGATAATAGTTTGATAATTTCGTTCAAAAGCCATCTTGGATTTACAATTTGACAGCACCATCATTTTCACTACCTTCAAAAACCATGTAAACGACGCCCATGATGATTAATTGTAATGCAATGGCAAACATCCATAAAAAAGAAACAATCATTTGAACATACACCTCCTCCTGTTTTTAAGTCGGTGAAAACAAACACGCGTTAGCCCTGAATAATATATCCCGAGCTGCTAACATCGTTTTGTTCGCAGTTCGGGATCGGCCTACCCGCGTCTCGCCGCTCACACCCCGCACGATTGCCTTGTCTAGACGTCTTCGTTGGACGACTGTATAGACAGTGACCAGACGGACATTAAAATAAAAATTAGGCATCTACCTTATTGAATTTTGCTTTAAAAATTGGTTTGACTTTTGTCCAGATGCGTGCGCGTGTCCCCGGACGGGCAACACATAGCGTGCGGCGACCGCGCCGGGAACGTCTGGGTCCACGCCGCCTCCGGGACACTACTCCACACCCTGGAGGCGCACGACGCCGAGGTGCTGTGTCTGGAGTACAGCGCGCGGCCCCGCCTGCTGGCCTCCGCCTCCAGGGACAGGCTCATACACGTCTTCCAAGTGGACCGGGTAACTTTGTACTTACTACTCAACTATGAAGAGAACCAGCAGACCAACCTTCTCTAAGCTGTCAAATTTATTCATTCGATTTTCGACTCTTTATGTCTAGAGGTATATTACAAAATTGAAGATGTAATTGATAAGTTTGATAGAAAATTATAGATTCATCTGCTGACCACAGCTTATTCCAGGGACCAGAATATCGTATATTCATTTAATCTGTCAAACACCAAGCGGTCACCGGTGACCGCGACCTATTGTTCTTTAATTGTGTCTATAAAACCGATACTCGACGAGTTATAGGTCTCAATTGGGTACTTTTCTTAATCAAAAATAAATTATTTCGACTGTTCAATATTAAAAAATAATCACACTTTCATTAATTGATTTTATAACCAACTTAATTTTAGTACTTTTCCAGCAAATTTTTAAGAAATAAGTATGCTGTTTGACGCTAAAAAAACGTGACGTCACAATACACAATGTCGTACAAAATTCATAGAAAACTGTCGTTTTTGACAGTTCGAAAAAAATATTGAATTTGACTAGTTGGCAAGTACCGTATTCGCCGGCTCCATAGAGCAACCAATCAGAGCAACGCCGGTCTCGTTTCGATTACTTTAAAATGTAAAACAAATTCCTTCTAAGGCCACAATTTGACGAAGAAACTCGACGACTTTCAAGTCTCCTCACATCAACAGCCCACAATACCCACTGTTGAGTAAAGCCTCTTCTCACACGGAGAAGGTTTGAGCATTAATCACCACGCATGCTCAATGCGGGTTGGCGATTGCAATCTTATAATTAGAAAGTATAAGCCCAGGTTTCTTCTCGATGTTTTCCTTTACCGTTTGTCAGTGGTATCTGAATAATCTTTGAAAGTACATATAACTCGGAAAAAGTCTCATTGGTGCTTGCCGTTGGTAGGTTTCGAACCCTCATGCATGAGAAGCGGGCATTTTAAACCTTCGAGCCACCACGACCCAAGTCTCCTACTTGCTCATATTTTAAACTACCTCGTAAACACGAGTAAGCTGTAAAATATATATAAGTCAACTAATATTTTCTTTTTCCTATTTCCAGGGTTACCAAATAATGCAGACACTGGACGAACACTCGTCCTCTATCACAGCAGTTCGCTTCCTCAGCTCTGGAGCTGGGTTACAGATGGTGTCCTGTGGCGCTGACAAAACTATTCTCTTTAGGCAGCTCAGACATGTAAGTATCAATTGAACATACATTAAAATATAGTTTAAATTATGTGTTGACAAATTTGCGCAACATTAGTAAAAAATGTTTAAGTTACTGCACCACGGCTATGCAGGTTCGATTGTAGTATGGACTTTTTTGTTTTTTTCTTTATAAGTCGGTAAATGAGTAGACGGATCACCTGATGGTAAGCAATCGGCGTCGCCCATGGACATGGCGGTACCGGCCTTTTGGGGTTAGGAATTTGAGAATTGTTTGAGTAATTAGGCCACCGGTAACCTCACTCATCATGCCATTTTACAAGGTGACACCAACTTTTCATCATTTATGTTATCGAATCGAACTCGAGACCTCTTGCCCAGCAGTCGCATTTGCAACGAGGCAGTCAAATATAATAATAATGTATAAATTTCCAGTCGCAGGAGGGCGGCTACCAGTTCCAGCGCGGCCAGAACGTGTCGGGGCGCACGACGCTGTACGACATGGAGGTGGACGCGGGCGGGCGCCACGTGCTGACGGCGTGCCAGGACCGCAACGTGCGCGTCTACAGCGCCGCGCACGGCCGCCACACCAAGACCTTCCGCGGGACCACCGCCGAGGACGGCACGCTCATCAAGGTACGTCTATTTATTTATATATCACGTACCGCGGGCGGGCGCCACGTGCTGACGGCGTGCCAGGACCGCAACGTGCGCGTCTACAGCGCCGCGCACGGCCGCCACACCAAGACCTTCCGCGGGACCACCGCCGAGGACGGCACGCTCATCAAGGTACGTCTATTTATTTATATATCACGTACCGCGGGCGGGCGCCACGTGCTGACGGCGTGCCAGGACCGCAACGTGCGCGTCTACAGCGCCGCGCACGGCCCGACACCAAGACCTTCCGCGGGACCACCGCCGAGGACGGCACGCTCATCAAGGTACGTCTATTTATTTATATATCACGTACCGCGGGCGGGCGCCACGTGCTGACGGCGTGCCAGGACCGCAACGTGCGCGTCTACAGCGCCGCGCACGGCCGCCACACCAAGACCTTCCGCGGGACCACCGCCGAGGACGGCACGCTCATCAAGGTACGTCTATTTTTTATATATCACGTACCGCGGCGGGCGCCACGTGCTGACGGCGTGCCAGGACCGCAACGTGCGCGTCTACAGCGCCGCGCACGGCCGCACACCAAGACCTTCCGCGGGACCACCGCCGGGACGGCACGCTCATCAAGGTACGTCTATTTATTTATATATCACGTACCGCGGGCGGGCGCCACGTGCTGACGGCGTGCCAGGACCGCAACGTGCGCGTCTACAGCGCCGCGCACGGCCGCCACACCAAGACCTTCCGCGGGACACCGCCGAGGACGGCACGCTCATCAAGGTACGTCTATTTATTTATATATCACGTACCGCGGGCGGGCGCCACGTGCTGACGGCGTGCCAGGACCGCAACGTGCGCGTCTACAGCGCCGCGCACGGCCGCCACACCAAGACCTTCCGCGGGACCACCGCCGAGGACGGCACGCTCATCAGGTACGTCTATTTATTTATATATCACGTACCGCGGGCGGGCGCCACGTGCTGACGGCGTGCCAGGACCGCAACGTGCGCGTCTACAGCGCCGCGCACGGCCGCCACACCAAGACCTTCCGCGGGACCACCGCCGAGGACGGCACGCTCATCAAGGTACGTCTATTTATTTATATATCACGTACCGCGGGCGGGCGCCACGTGCTGACGGCGTGCCAGGACCGCAACGTGCGCGTCTACAGCGCCGCGCACGGCCGCCACACCAAGACCTTCCGCGGGACCACCGCCGAGGACGGCACGCTCATCAAGGTACGTCTATTTATTTATATATCACGTACCGCGGGCGGGCGCCACGTGCTGACGGCGTGCCAGGACCGCAACGTGCGCGTCTACAGCGCCGCGCACGGCCGCCACACCAAGACCTTCCGCGGGACCACCGCCGAGGACGGCACGCTCATCAAGGTACGTCTATTTATTTATATATCACGTACCGCGGGCGGGCGCCACGTGCTGACGGCGTGCCAGGACCGCAACGTGCGCGTCTACAGCGCCGCGCACGGCCGCCACACCAAGACCTTCCGCGGGACCACCGCCGAGGACGGCACGCTCATCAAGGTACGTCTATTTATTTATATCACGTACCGCGGGCGGGCGCCACGTGCTGACGGCGTGCCAGGACCGCAACGTGCGCGTCTACAGCGCCGCGCACGGCCGCCACACCAAGACCTTCCGCGGGACCACCGCCGAGGACGGCACGCTCATCAAGGTACGTCTATTTATTTATATATCACGTACCGCGGGCGGGCGCCACGTGCTGACGGCGTGCCAGGACCGCAACGTGCGCGTCTACAGCGCCGCGCACGGCCGCCACACCAAGACCTTCCGCGGGACCACCGCCGAGGACGGCACGCTCATCAAGGTACGTCTATTTATTTATATATCACGTACCGCGGGCGGGCCACGTGCTGACGGCGTGCCAGGACCGCAACGTGCGCGTCTACAGCGCCGCGCACGGCCGCCACACCAAGACCTTCCGCGGGACCACCGCCGAGGACGGCACGCTCATCAAGGTACGTCTATTTATTTATATATCACGTACCGCGGGCGGGCGCCACGTGCTGACGGCGTGCCAGGACCGCAACGTGCGCGTCTACAGCGCCGCGCACGGCCGCCACACCAAGACCTTCCGCGGGACCACCGCCGAGGACGGCACGCTCATCAAGGTACGTCTATTTATTTATATATCACGTACCGCGGGCGGGCGCCACGTGCTGACGGCGTGCCAGGACCGCAACGTGCGCGTCTACAGCGCCGCGCACGGCCGCCACACCAAGACCTTCCGCGGGACCACCGCCGAGGACGGCACGCTCATCAAGGTACGTCTATTTATTTATATATCACGTACCGCGGGCGGGCGCCACGTGCTGACGGGTGCCAGGACCGCAACGTGCGCGTCTACAGCGCCGCGCACGGCCGCCACACCAAGACCTTCCGCGGGACCACCGCCGAGGACGGCACGCTCATCAAGGTACGTCTATTTATTTATATATCACGTACCGCGGGCGGGCGCCACGTGCTGACGGCGTGCCAGGACCGCAACGTGCGCGTCTACAGCGCCGCGCACGGCCGCCCACCAAGACCTTCCGCGGGACCACCGCCGAGGACGGCACGCTCATCAAGGTACGTCTATTTATTTATATATCACGTACCGCGGGCGGGCGCCACGTGCTGACGGCGTGCCAGGACCGCAACGTGCGCGTCTACAGCGCCGCGCACGGCCGCCACACCAAGACCTTCCGCGGGACCACCGCCGAGGACGGCACGCTCATCAAGGTACGTCTATTTATTTATATATCACGTACCGCGGGCGGGCGCCACGTGCTGACGGCGTGCCAGGACCGCAACGTGCGCGTCTACAGCGCCGCGCACGGCCGCCACACCAAGACTTCCGCGGGACCACCGCCGAGGACGGCACGCTCATCAAGGTACGTCTATTTATTTATATATCACGTACCGCGGGCGGGCGCCACGTGCTGACGGCGTGCCAGGACCGCAACGTGCGCGTCTACAGCGCCGCGCACGGCCGCCACACCAAGACCTTCCGCGGGACCACCGCCGAGGACGGCACGCTCATCAAGGTACGTCTATTTTTTATATATCACGTACCGCGGGCGGGCGCCACGTGCTGACGGCGTGCCAGGACCGCAACGTGCGCGTCTACAGCGCCGCGCACGGCCGCCACACCAAGACCTTCCGCGGGACCACCGCCGAGGACGGCACGCTCATCAAGGTACGTCTATTTATTTATATATCACGTACCGCGGGCGGGCGCCACGTGCTGACGGCGTGCCAGGACCGCAACGTGCGCGTCTACAGCGCCGCGCACGGCCGCCACACCAAGACCTTCCGCGGGACCACCGCCGAGGACGGCACGTCTCAAGGTACGTCTATTTATTTATATATCACGTACCGCGGGCGGGCGCCACGTGCTGACGGCGTGCCAGGACCGCAACGTGCGCGTCTACAGCGCCGCGCACGGCCGCACACCAAGACCTTCCGCGGGACCACCGCCGAGGACGGCACGCTCATCAAGGTACGTCTATTTATTTATATATCACGTACCGCGGGGGGCGCCACGTGCTGACGGCGTGCCAGGACCGCAACGTGCGCGTCTACAGCGCCGCGCACGGCCGCCACACCAAGACCTTCCGCGGGACCACCGCCGAGGACGGCACGCTCATCAAGGTACGTCTATTTATTTATATATCACGTACCGCGGGCGGGCGCCACGTGCTGACGGCGTGCCAGGACCGCAACGTGCGCGTCTACAGCGCCGCGCACGGCCGCCACACCAAGACCTTCCGCGGGACCACCGCCGAGGACGGCACGCTCATCAAGGTACGTCTATTTATTTATTATCACGTACCGCGGGCGGGCGCCACGTGCTGACGGCGTGCCAGGACCGCAACGTGCGCGTCTACAGCGCCGCGCACGGCCGCCACACCAAGACCTTCCGCGGGACCACCGCCGAGGACGGCACGCTCATCAGGTACGTCTATTTATTTATATATCACGTACCGCGGGCGGGCGCCACGTGCTGACGGCGTGCCAGGACCGCAACGTGCGCGTCTACAGCGCCGCGCACGGCCGCCACACCAAGACCTTCCGCGGGACCACCGCCGAGGACGGCACGCTCATCAAGGTACGTCTATTTATTTATATATCACGTACCGCGGGCGGGCGCCACGTGCTGACGGCGTGCCAGGACCGCAACGTGCGCGTCTACAGCGCCGCGCACGGCCGCCACACCAAGACCTTCCGCGGGACCACCGCCGAGGACGGCACGCTCATCAAGGTACGTCTATTTATTTATATATCACGTACCGCGGGCGGGCGCCACGTGCTGACGGCGTGCCAGGACCGCAACGTGCGCGTCTACAGCGCCGCGCACGGCCGCCACACCAAGACCTTCCGCGGGACCACCGCCGAGGACGGCACGCTCATCAAGGTACGTCTATTTATTTATATATCACGTACCGCGGGCGGGCGCCACGTGCTGACGGCGTGCCAGGACCGCAACGTGCGCGTCTACAGCGCCGCGCACGGCCGCCACACCAAGACCTTCCGCGGGACCACCGCCGAGGACGGTACGCTCATCAAGGTACGTCTATTTTTATATATCACGTACCGCGGGCGGGCGCCACGTGCTGACGGCGTGCCAGGACCGCAACGTGCGCGTCTACAGCGCCGCGCACGGCCGCCACACCAAGACCTTCCGCGGGACCACCGCCGAGGACGGCACGCTCATCAAGGTACGTCTATTTATTTATATATCACGTACCGCGGGCGGGCGCCACGTGCTGACGGCGTGCCAGGACCGCAACGTGCGCGTCTACAGCGCCGCGCACGGCCGCCACACCAAGACCTTCCGCGGGACCACCGCCGAGGACGGCACGCTCATCAAGGTACGTCTATTTATTTATATATCACGTACCGCGGGCGGGCGCCACGTGCTGACGGCGTGCCAGGACCGCAACGTGCGCGTCTACATTATATTATGTATTCCTTTTTAAAAGGCCGGCAACGCACCTGTGACTACCCTGGTATTCCATATGTCCATGGGCGGCGCTGATCGCTTACCATCAGGTGATTCGTCTGCTCGTTTGCCTCCTATTCCATAAAAAATAATATATATTTATAGATATACTCTTTTGCGCACACAGAAAAAAAAATTGTAAACATTGCAATAGTAATTTGAGTACAATGGGCGGTCTTATCACACGCGGCGATTTCTTCCAGACAACCTTTGGATGGAATTTTTGGAAAGAATCTGGGAATGGGTGGTAGATGCACTATAAAATAAAAATAGAAAAAAAAACAAAAAATGACAAATAAACAATCAATGAAACTTACAAACTACATACCTATAATACATATAAGATTAAATTTTATAATTTAAAATAAAATAAAACTAATGTGTTGCTTTGTAAAGTTAAGAAACGACATTTAATGTTTTAGTCTTCCATAAAATTCTTTAACGCAAAAGTCATATTATTGACGTTTAAAAAAAACCAAAGACTATTTGACAATAGTATACAATTCAAAAATTAAGAAAGCCTTTTTCTTAACATACATACTAAAATGATATGAAAAATGGGCAATACTATGTAATAAATATAAAAATATGCTTAAATGTAATAGGATAACTATTTATAGTTACATGTGTGTGTAAGTGTGTGTGTGTGTGTGTATGTGTGAGTGTGTTTATCCTTTTGCCTTCAACAGTTTTCTATTGACAGTCAAAACCTTAATATAAACATTAATAAAACCATGTTTTTTCTATGGCAGGTGGCCTTAGACAACAGTGGTATATACCTGGCCACGTCGAGCACGGACAAGATACTCAGCGTGTACGACTACTACTCCGGCGAGTGCATGGCCACTATGTACGGACACTCCGAGATTGTCACTGGACTCAAGTACGTATTTAAAAATGAGAATAATAATATTTTTTTTATCTTTTTTTTTTTAATTTTATTGGAACCACAAACAAGTTTGCAATACACCTTAATATTTAGATCTTGTCGCGGAGAACCTAACGGTTTACCGGGGCTCCGGCTCGACGTGCAGGAACGAGGTGGTTTTTAGTCAGTAAGAGTCTGACACTTCCTCCCGCCTCACCCAGGCGGGAGTAGTCAATCGATTTTTCCCCCTTCAAAAAAAAAAAAAAATTTGTATGACATTAATGGTCACTTCAAAATATAAATGACTTACATAATGATGAACTTGCACCGCAATATAATCGTAAGTTTCATAAGAAGTGTGACCGTGGTAAGTACAATTAAAAAAAACTCATGTTATTATATTATAATATGATGTTAGTCAATTAACACTAGTAGGCATTATTCTAAGTTTATTGGTTAGTTCAGAATATAAACAGTAACAAAGGAGGAGAGAAAATAGAGTAAAGAAAACTACATAGATAGTCAAGCTTCAATCGCTTTTCTCCTACAAACAAAAGACAAGTATACCTACTTATTTATTTAAAAAAAAGCATATATACGGCCGAATTGAAAACCTAATCCTTTTTTTGAAGTCTATTAACAAATATAAATAAATAAATAACATTACCTTTTCATCCCTAAAGGGGTAGGTACAGATGCACAAGGAGTAACATAGGGCACTTTTTATTTTAGAAAAACGCAGACAAAGTTGCGGGTACAGCTAGATCACACAATGAGTGGAATCGAATTACTCGTTAGATGGTAGCCGGTTGTTCAGGCACCATGTCAACCATGCTACTATTTGTATTATAGCTTTCGTGAGACATACTAAATAAATTATTATATTTCCGGCTTACTCACGTAATTATTTGACGAGGAACTCGACTAGTTTCAAGTCATGCTAAAGGCTCATATTCATTAACAGCATTTCGCGACCAGCGCGCCCTTTGCCGCATGGCTTCAAACTAGTCGAGTTACTCGTCAAATAATTACGTGAGTAAGCCGAAAACATAATAATATATCATGCTACTATTGTCATCGATTGACCTGACAAAATAAGTGATGAAGAGTCAATGTACTTAATATTAATACTATTTGTTCCAGGTTCACCCCAGACTGTCAACACTTGATCTCAGCGTCAGGAGACGGCTGCATCTTCGTGTGGAGAGTGCCGCATGACATGGTGGTCACCATGAGAGCCAGGCTCGCTCAGCAAGCTATACGCCAGGGGAAGTTAGTATGCAAATTATATAACTCGTTGAGTACCGTCATTATAGACACAATTAAAGAACAATAGGTTGCGGTCACCGGTGACCGCTTGGTGTTTGACAGTTTATATCTCTAAACATTAGAAGATTTTGGTTTGATTTCCGGTCTGATAAAATTTTGTTGAGATTTTTGACAAATTATAGCTGAACAATATCGGCCGAAAGTCCTTTGGAGCCTATTACTTGAAATAATACGAAGTACCTCAGAGCAAGACAATTTATTTACGTCAAAGCAGACAACCTAATGTTTTGCCGGTAACGAAACCATAGCTTGAATTTAAATCGGCCAACGCCATCTATCGAGCTATGGGACAACACAATAAATAGTAGTATGGCGTTGGCCGAGTGCATCTTTTAAACAGATTATTTCTACACTGAACATTCCGCCCACCAAAAGGAATATATTCCTTTTCGTACCGCCCACCATGCATAAACTTAACAACTAGGAGAACAGTGGACTGTATGACAATTATATTACTATATTACGAATAATACATCGAGATAGATCTAGTGGACGGCTTCTTTTAGCAGACATTGGCGCGGACAGATATGGTTCAATCAAAATGAATAGATATAAGTACAAAAACATTAATCTGGGTGACGAAATTCTTGATACCGGCAAAAATATCAGGTTGACAAAATTCTGACAAAAACAATATAACTAAACTACTAACTAAACATTGTAATCAATACATGACAGTGCACAAGAGTAAGAGACATTGTTATTTCAACAGTGCAGTATAAGAAAATAACATAATAAAACCTTATCTAAAAACATACGCAACTTAAACAATTAAATCTACAAGATTTTGTGCCTTATTCAGTAACAGGAAGAAAAACACAATTTTGAAATTGGACGTTTAATCATAGAGCCCTTACAACGAACAGTGACAACTCGCGTCAAGTTATCTCTACCCGGATGCAGCTCAACAATTCTGCCATACAACCATTTAGCTGGAGGTAAGATATCTTCTTTTATTAAAACTACATCACCTATTTTACAGTCAGGTTTACGAACATTCCACTTATGCCTTTGAAAAAAGTTTGTTAAATACTCCTGTTTCCATCTACGCCAAAAGTGCTGCACCATACGCTGTACTAATTGCCATCTGCGTAAAGTGCTAACTGTGACACTTTCATAGTTGTAGTCAGGAACCATTACCAATGGATGACCCACCAAGAAATGACCCGGAGTCAGAGGTACAGGATCCTCTGGATCACTACTACCCTGAGACAGGGGCCTAGAGTTTAGGCATGCCTCGATTTGGGAAAGTACTGTGGACAGTTCTTCGAACGTCAAAGTGGAGTCACCTATCACACGCTTCAAGTGGTGTTTTACACTTTTCACCCCTGCTTCCCACAACCCACCAAAATTAGGAGCGTGAGGAGGGATAAAATGCCATTCTGTTTGAGAGTTTGCAAGAGCAGCTGCAATGTCTTTGTACATCGAACTCTGTTGGTTGAAAAGCATCTGCAACTCTTTAGCAGCACCCACAAAATTTGTACCATTGTCGCTCCAGATATGACGACAGTGACCGCGCCTAGAAACGAACCGTTTGAACGCTGCCAGGAAACCCTCAGTCGTCAAATCTGAAACAACCTCTATGTGTACTGCGCGCGTAGCCATACATACGAACAAACAGATGTACCCCTTATACGACCGCTGTCCACGACCTTTGGAGACTCTAATGTGAATAGGGCCTGCATAATCGACACCGGAGTTCAGAAACGGCTTACTGGGAGTCACTCTGCAAACCGGAAGTTCTCCCATAAGCTGTTGATTCGTGGTCGCCGAGTATCGAATACAGCGAACACAACGACGTATATAAGCTCGTACAATATTTTTAACCCGACTGATCCAGTACTTGATGCGTATAAAATTAAGTACCAGTTGCTGTCCTCCATGAAAGGTCCTTTCATGAGCGTCGGCTACAATTAACTTAGCCAAACTTGAATCATGAGGAATAACAACTGGGTGCTTTGTATCATCAAGTAATGGTGAATACCGTAGCCTTCCTCCAACTCGCAATATCCCACATTGGTCGATAAATACATTCAACTTATATAAAGAACTCGACCTTTCCAATGGACTCTTATTTTTCAGGGCTGTCAATTCAGCCTGAAACCATTGCTGTTGGCTTTGTTTGATACATACATTCAACGCTTTGTGAATTTCGGAAGCTGACAGGTATTTTGCAACCTTAATATTCGCTTTACGAAGTTTTAATGATTGCAAAAATCTTTTACAATACGCAACAACTCTCACCAAACGTGAAAGTGATGAATACTTAGATCCCCAAATGACTTCAAAATCAGGCACTACGCTGGCAGTGTGAACATTAACTTGCTTTAACTCCTCATTAGTATGAATGGCACTAGGCCGGGTGAAGTCTATCTGAGCATTCCTTAACCAACCAGGTCCATGTTTCCAAAGATCATCACCAAGGAGAAATGCTGAAGACACTCCCCGGGAAGCTATATCTGCTGGATTTTCTTTAGATTTAACATAAGCCCACTGTGAATTGTCTAGCAAACCAAGAATCTCAGAAGTACGATTAGCCACGTAAGTTTTCCATCGACTTGGATGATCATTTAACCAGGCCAAAACAACTGATGAATCCGTCCAAGCATGTATATTTGCCTTAGGAATGTTCATTACTTGAGCTACATCAATCAATAATTTTGCTACTAAAACAGAACCGCACAACTCCAGCCGTGGAATGGATATTTGCTTGATGGGAGCTACCTTTGTCTTTGCGGTTATGAGGTGCGAGTGTATTTGCCCATTAGCATCGACAATGCGACAATACACCACAGCCGCATAAGCTATATTTGACGCATCGCTAAAGCCATGTAACTCCATTGTAATATCTTTTTCGCTTTTATGTATCCATCTAGGAATGTGAAAGTTTACCAGTTTCTTTAACTCTGCTCTATAATATGACCATTCTTGTAAGAGATTTGGTGGCAGTTCATCATCCCAGCCGATTCCACTAATCCATAGCTTTTGTATGAAAACCTTCGAGGTTATAATGCACGGTGCTATCCAACCCAACGGATCATAAAGCTTTGATATCTCTGATATAACCGTCCTTTTTGTTTCAGGTGCAGCAGGAGGTGACATCTTCACAGAATAATCAAATTCATCAGTGTTCCGGTTCCAGGTAAGTCCTAAAATCTTAGTTATACTATCCATTTTTATTTCAAGGTCTCTACCAGAAGTTTCCTTCAACGTTTCCAAAATGGATGGTCTATTGCTTGTCCACTTTTGCAATTGGAACCCCGCTTTCTCTAATAGACAATTCATTTCATCATAAATTAGTTTTACTTCTGTTTCAGATTGACACCCAGTCATCAGATCGTCCATATAGAAGTCTGACTTCACCCTTTCAGCAGCCATTGGATACCTCTCGCCTTCATCGCACGCAACTTGCTGCAACGACTTTACAGCTAAGTAAGGAGCGCATGACGTACCAAAGGTGACAGTCAGAAGTCGGTAATCCTCGATCTCTTTGTTTGGATTCTCTCTCCAAACAATTCTTTGATAATCTGTATCAGGTCGAGCGACCTTGATTTGGCGATACATTTTGACGATATCGGCAGCCAGACAGATCGGATGTTGACGCCATCTCATGACAATATGTCGCAAATCTGCCTGAAGAGTGGGTCCTACCATTAAGGTGTCATTTAAGGAAACCCCGTTCGTTCCCTTACATGACGCGTCATAAACCACTCTTACCTTAGTGGTTAATTTATCCTGTCTAACCACTGCGTGATGAGGCAAATAAACAGCATCGTTTTTATTTATTTCAGCCTTATCAACGATTTTCTCCATATGACCTAGCAATAAATATTCTTTTATTACATCAGCATACTGTTGTTTTAATTCATCATCCCTACCCAGCTTCCTTTCTAAACCTAGCAATCTTTTTACAGCTATATTTTTAGAATTACCGTATTTACAAAGTGGATCTTCGGAACGAAAAGGTAATTTTACGACATATCTCCCATTGACATCTCTAACTGTCGATTGTCGTAAAACTCTTCGCAGGCCTGTTCTTCAGGCGTGAGAAGCTTTTTCGTTATAGCAGGTTCGGAATCCAATTCCCATAAACGTTTTAACATATCATTCTCTTCTATTTGAGTGTACATCGTGATTATAGTATTATGAGAATTTAGAGAGCTATCTGCCTTACTGACATAGCCTGACACAATCCAACCTAAATGCGTGTCTTGTGCGACCGGAGAGCCTGTAGGACTCTTGATCAGACCTTCCTTTAAAATACGGCAGTATACTTCCCCCCCTAATAAAATATCAATTTTATTAGAACGACTGAAATTTGGGTCGGCTAGACGTATGCTGTGAATTTCTGGCCAATTGTCAAGGTTGACATTCTTATCTGGCATAACCGATGTCAGTGAACGTAGTACATGCGCAGTTACGTTTATGGTATAAGAGGAATCATGCAACGATTGAATATCAATATTCACTACATGTTTAGAAACGATCTTGCTATGCTCACCTCCTATACCTGCAATAGTAGTCTTTGAGACTACTCTCCTTAAACGAAGTAATTGCGCAGCTGACTCAGTTATAAAGGATGCTTGTGATCCTTGATCCAACAAAGCTCTCAAAACCTGAGAGGACCCATTTTGTGATTCGGCTTTAACCAAAGCCGTGGCTAACAAGACCTGACCCTGCGTTTGTTCATTCACAAAATGAGATGCTATACTTACCTTGACATCATGGACTGGCTCTGAAGTACATCCAAGTTCAGGGAGAATAGGTTCCCCTGACGCAGTAACCCCAATGGCTCCACTATGGTTCTTCGGATGTAGCAGCGTATGGTGTTTACGCTGACAAATACGGCATTTCGAAAAAACACGGCAGTATTTGGAAGTATGATTACTTCCCAAACAATTAAAACAGGCACCCAAAGATTGTGTTACGGCACGACGTCCGTC